GTCCTCCTGACTCCAGTGGATTTGAATTCTTAAATAGTCCATAAAACTCATAATATTAATGAAGCACAAGATCCAGGTTTATTCTTCCACCTTGCAATTCTCACTCTTGTTCATTGGTTCCAGCTTCATCATCCAGGAACTACTCTAATGGGCCCAGGAAGCTTAATCAAGAAAGTTCTCGATTGTTTTTCCACTGCCTTTCCACTGCTCCTAGATAAAGTTTCAGTTGTTCTTGACTTGGCTCAGGGATACCATCCCTGGATTCCATCTTTGGAGCTATATGGTTACCTATAGGAACTTCAAAAGTGCACAAATTTCCCTTCCATGAAACCAACCAAGTCCCAGTCCCTATTTGTAGCCCTTCTCCTTTCTGAACAATATACTTTCCTCTGTGTATCGACTCTCCCTTCAAAAGGCCAAGTCCAATGGCATAGTCTAGGTATATGAATCAATAAATTATCCCCTATGCTGCCTTAATGGGGATTGGTGAGTGCCCAGAGCCAGGCAAAATGGCCAGGCAAATTCATCCTTTATCAAAGAGCAAATCTTGTGAAGGGAACTTAGCATGGATATCTGTAGGTAGCAGAGGGATTCAGAAAGGCCTTCAGGGCCCTCCTTGGATATGGTGTCTACAATAATAATCCAGATGTGAGGAGGGCCAAACACAACTGTTTAACTAAGTTGGTTTTGCCCTCTGAACAGATGATTTTCAGAAGGGTGTTGACTCCTCTCTACTTTTGGTTGATTTAACCTAGAAACTGCTACTTAGTAGAAGGAAAGGAAAGAAAGGATGAAGGATCATGGAATCATACCATATGGGAGCTGGTAGGAATCTTAGAGGAATAAAAACAGTAATACTTGTAATAGTTATAGTAGTAATTATAGTACTAATGATAATATAAATGAATTGGAGAATTTAAGTAGAAATTATACGTAATACATTTATTTGTTTGTTTGTTTGCCTAGATATGTGATTTCAGAAAAATAAGAGACCTCCAAATTTGAAAATTCTCTCCACTACTGCTTGGGGCAGGGGTGGGGAACCTGAGGCCTCGAGGCCACATGTGGCCCTCTAGGTCCTCAAGTGCAGCCTTTTGACTGAATCCAAACTTCACAGAACAAATTTGTTCAGTCAAAGGGGCCACACTTGAGGACCTAGAGGGCCACATGTGGCCTCGAGGCTACAGGTTCCCCATCCCTGGCTTGGGGCATCAAGAGATTGTGACTTGGCCAGAGTCACACAGCAATGGACTCGAGGAAGGCCTTGAGCCTACATCTTCCTTAGTCTGAAGGTGGTCCTCTCTATCCACTGTACCTTGCTGCTCCTCTATAACAATAATGTGACAACAACAATTGGTATTTATCTAGAGTTCTAAAGTTTGCAAAATGTTTTATAAACACGATCTTATTTGAGCCTCACCAAAGTTCTGGGAAGCAGGTGGTGCCCACAGCATTCTTCCCATTTTATAGATGAGGAGACTAAGACTTAATTAAGGAAGTTGTGACTTTCCTAAGGTTGCCATGCTAGCATGTGCCTTATTAGGCTTTGAACCTATGTCTTCAAAGTCAAAGTTCAAGACTCTTTCCACTAGACTCCCCTGGCTCTTGACATATTTGAGCTGAAAGGGATCACAGGGCCATCTAGTCCAACACTCTCACATTCACAAATTGAGTGAATAAGCCTGAGAAATGTGAAGTGACTTGACTTAGGCCACAAAGCTAGTTAGTATCTGAGCTCGGACTAGAGCCCAAGTCTACTGATATCTCCTCTTCACTACACCACAATTCCTGGGATTCCTTTTTGGAGGGCTGTGTTACTGCATTTTCACAGACTTCCCAAGATTACCATCAGCTGGATTTCCCAGACAAGAGGCCGAATGGCCAAGCAACAAGCATCTGGCCCATGGAAGACAGTTGTCCTGTATTGTTTCATCTCCCTTTCTCCTGGACCTCCCAGCATGTGCCCGGCCTCCTTTCTCTCACTGTCACTAAGTTACCAAGCTGATTTGGACAGAGCAATCCAAGAGATTTATTAATCCAAGCATTTGGCAGTGGGTTGACTCTATAGTATGGTCTGAGCTATTAGGCACTGGACTGACTAAGGTGTTGCTCACTTGCTCACATCTGTAGGTGGAGATGACACCAGTGACTCTTCTGCACTCATGCTCCTTTCTCTGGAAGGAGGACTTTCCATGAGACTCATTTTCCCAAGAGGAAAAGCACAAAATGGTTTTGTTTTGTTTTCATGCAATCCTCATGACAATTCTGATCTACACAGGGGGCTAGGGAAGATTTTTTAAAATTTTCACTTTACAGAGAAGGGGGAGAGTTCTATGTAACTATTTTGTTATTCAGGTGTTTTTGGTTGTGTTCAACTCTTCATAACCCGCTTTGGGGTTTTCTTGGCAGAGACACTGGAGTAGTTTGTTTCCTTCTCTAGCTCATTTTATAGATGAGGAAACAGAGGCAAACGGGGTTAAGTGGCTTGCCCAGGGTCACACGACTAGTGTCTGAGGCTGGATTTGAACTCAGGTCTTCTTTATTCCAGGCTCGGCGCTCTAACCATCACGCTACCTAGCTGTCCCTATATAACTATAAGGTATTATAACAACACGTTGGTTCAGTTAGTTAAAGCAAGAAACTAAGGAGGTGAGGCAGTGAATGGTGCCTTGGGACTATAGCTAGTTAAGAAGACCTGAGTTCAAATTTGACCTCAGACACTCACTAGATGTGTGACTCTGGACAAGTCATTGACTTGTCTTAGTTTCCTCAACTGTAAAATGAAGATAATAAGAGCATCTACTTCCTAGAGTTGTTGCAAGGAACAAATGGGATATTATTTATAAAGCACTTAGCACAGTGCTTGTCACACAGTAGGTACTATATAAATTCTTATTTCCTTCCTTCTAAAGAAGGCCAGAGTCATAGGTCCAAGTCTTGCCCTGGTGACAAAGCAAAAAGAACCTTGTACCATATCCATATTCCTGGCTTGCCAATTTTCATGAGTCATAAAGGGCACTTGGCAGAAGAATATGGATGATTCAATGCAACTCATCCCTCTTCCAGGAAAAACACTTTAATATGTGGATGGGGTGGATGGGATTACCACTATACGATAATGCCAGTAACATTCTCCCCATTTTATAGATGAGGAAACTAAGGCTCAAGGTGGTTATGACTTTCCTATGACTGGCCATGCTAGAATGTGCTGCACTAGGCTTTGAAGCCATGTCTTCAAAGTCCAAGTCCACGTCTCTTTCCACCAGATTCCCCTGGATCTTGATATATTTGAGCTGAAAGGGACCACTGAGGTCATCCACTCCAGCTCTCTCATGTTTACACATCAAGAGAATAAGGCTTCTTTTTTTTTTTAAATAAAGTGGGCACATTTTTTTTGCCCAGGTAGCAAACGGAGGAAAATATCTGGCATATCAGGTTTTTCTACTATCTAAGCTCACAAATGTCCCCATGATCCCCAAGATCAAGAAAGTGCATAGTAGCCTAAGGGGCTTTGGATACGTATTAGTGATTAGACATGGACTCTGTCCCCAGGAAGCCTACAGTCTAATATTAGAAAGTATATTCTTCCCAGCCCTGATTAGGGTGCACATGGAACTATTTGCCTACCAAATGGATATGGGGACCCTCTCAGACTCCAATTCTTTTCATCATAATTTATTTAGCTCTTTTCTTTTAACATCACCCTCATTTCCAAACATATACTTCCCTGCTCCTATCCAGTAAACCAGAAGAGAAGAAAAAGAAGAGAAAATGTTTTAAACGTTCAGCAAAGCTAACCAACACTTCTACTGTCTAAAGATATATGTGTAAACCTATAGGAACCCACCCCTGCCAAGAAGGGAGATAGGGTGCATTTTCTCATTTTTTCTTTGGGTACAGGCTGAGGCTCCTTTCTTAATTGCTTAAAAGTAATTCCCTCCATAAGAAAGAGCCCCATGGGTCCTGCTAGAAGGGCTGAGAGAACACGGTTTAATAAATCCTTTGAATTCCATGGTGTCCTAATCGGCTTTGTAGGTTGGAGAAAAATGACCTCTGAGATGTGAAAGAAAGGGAAAAAAGAACATGCCGGGGATGCAGAAGAAAGGGAGGCAAATTAGAAAGACTAAGAAACTAGTGGGTGAGTTATTTGTTTCCTGGTCACTTGGCTTCTTGTCTCAGGATCCAGATGATGAAAACAGAATCAGAAGGCATCTTGGAGAGCCCCGCAGGTTAGCGAAAAAGCAGGAGTCCCACCCCACCAAAAGGAATTTTCAGAATTGTGGCAGAGTAAGAAAAGCAAGGAGGCCTGGGAAGCAGGAGACCTTCTCAACTAAACAACGATTAACTGTGGAACCTCAGGCAGCAAGCTGCTTTATCGGCTCTGTAAAGTTCTTTGCCAGCCTTATAACGCTCTATAAAAAGGGACCTGAAGTTCATGCTCTCGGGTCCCGTTCAGCCCTAATGTTCTATGTGCCCAAGGAATTACAGATTTAGAGCTGGAATGCCCCTTAGAAATCATCCAGTCCATCTCCATCTCTTGAGGTGAAATGAGCTACAAATGAGGTAACTGAGGCACAGAAAGATTAAGTGACTGGCCCAGGGCCACATAGCTCGTAAATATCAGAGGCAAGATTTGAACCTAGGGCTTCTGACACCAAATCCAGCACTTTAGCCACGATTCCACACTGCCTCAGGAATTCATCTTGCCTGCCTTCATCCTCTCCTCTCCTTTCCTCCAGGCTTGAATAAAATGCCATCCGAAGAGTAGGAAGGGGATGTGTTTGCTAGAGAATGAAGAGGATGGTGGGCAAGGGGCACGGTCTAATTAACACTAATTGGATATGACTGAATGACTAAACAACAACAAAAACCATAATCCATAGAGACGGCAGGCCTGGCAAGACAATATTAAGCCTGCGGAGGGAATGGTTAACTCGGAGATCTCAGTCAAATCCCCTTAGGGCAGCTTGTTCTGAAACCTCTTGTCACCACCTCCTTCTACAATCCTTTCCCAAGGAATGTGAGAGCTTCTGAACCACAGTCAGTCCTCAGATGGTTTACAGGTAAAACCCTTGAAGCTGCTGCTGGGAAAGGCGGAGACATGGAAAGAGGACTTCTGAAGAACGCCAGCCACTTGACCTGCCTTCACGGTAATCTTTCAGGTAAGGTTGGAATTCAACTATTTAAGCCTCAGGATCCTCCCCCTGACTGCCTAGTATGATGAAATTTTATGGGAGCCCCCAGGGAGACCCATTCGAACCACAGGGTCTTTTTGAGAGAAGAGAAGGGGAAAAAGAAAAGAGGAATAGAGTCAGTGATGTTCACATCTAGGTGGTAGGCTGGACAAAGCACCGGCTATAAAACAGCTTAAGTTTCACGAGTTTTCACAAAGGCAGAGACCAACTTTTAGACATTTGGCTGGTGTTGGTTCCAGGTCAGTCAGTGAACCAACCAAGAGTTGTGGCAGCTCAGGTACAGCTCCCAGATGGACGGGAATCCTGCATGTGACATACTGACTGGGTAGCGGAAGATCACAGGATTCAGAGACAGAAGGGCCCCGAGAGATCACGAGTCCAACCCCTTATTTCACAGAGGAGGAAACTGAGGCCCAGAAAGGGAAAAGGCTAGCCCTAGGTCACACAGTATGCAAATGCAGGTCCTCTACCTCCAAATCCAGCAACCTATACTAGAGAATAATAGAGGTAACAGGCCCACTACCAATATATATACCTTTTCCCCTGGAAACAGGGATATTTTATGTTGGCTGGGGGTGAAGGTTGGTGGGGAGTGGGAGAGTATATGTTTTATCCTGTTATGGAGGTAGATAATTTCATGAAGGAGATAGGGGTTAAAAAAATGCAAAAACAGTGGTTTGAATGGGGTAGTAGAAGAGGGGTACCAAAGGCAGGTTGTTCCATGGGGCTCAGATGGTGTGAGAGAGGCTCAAAAGAAAGTCACAGCAAACCCTTTCTACTGCTTATGTAGTTCAAACACATTAAAATTTTTTTGAAGGCAATCGGGGTGAAGTGACTTGCCCAGGGTCACATAGCTAGTGTCTGAGGCTGAATTTGAACTCAGGTCCTCCTGACTCCAGGGTTGATGCTCTATCCACTGCACCACCTAACTGCCCCTACATTTCATTTTTAATATAAAAACATGAGCAGGAGGAAGCTCTCAGTGGCTACCCTGCATGGTAGATGGAAAGGGCACTGGACTTGGAATCAGAAAACCAGGGTTTGAATCTTATTTCTTCTACTTATTATCTGTGTGACTTTGGGAAAGCCGCTCACCCTCTCTGGGCCTCAGTTTCCTCATCTGTAAAAAAGAAGGGGACTGAGCTAAATGATCTTTAAGTTTCCTTCCTTCAGCTCTGGCATTGTGTGGTACTGTACCTTCAGCCACAGAGCACTTGATGATCTAACAGTAAGCCTTCTACAATACGTGGTTTTCTGGAGAGGGCGTGCACTGTATTTATTTCCAGCCTTGGCAACCAGACATGGGAACTTTTAAAACTAGTTTGTTTGTTTTTTTTAATAGCAAAATCTCAGTGGCTCAAAGAATAAGATGTTCTGTACAGTTGTCTCAATGGGATTTTCCCAGAAAAGCTGGAAGGAAGAGTCCCAGCTCTGGGGCTGGTGTCTAATTTTGTTCCATCTCCTTAGTCTCTCTAGAAGCCCAGTGCCCCAGGCTTTTCCCTCCTCCTTTTGGCTCCTACAAAGTGGAAAAAGGCTCAGGCTGCTCCCCGGGCTCAGTGGTTGTTTTCTCCTGCCAAGTGGGATATCAGCTCACAGGAAGCAGAACAATGATTTGCCTCTTGGGGGACAATAGTACAATTTGGAGTCATCCTGAACCCCAGTGTGAGGAGGGTAAGACATATGTCCTGTGGCATCAGACAATGCCATGGCTGGGTTGGCCATGCTAGCAGCACCCCCTCCCCTCACGGTAAGTTTCCTTATGTTGTCTTCATCCCAGGGATCCCCAAGTCACCTAATCATGGCTCCCAAGGGGCAGTGGCTGTCTCTCTCATCAGTGGTGCCATCATCCTTGCCCTCTGCATCTCTTTTATGATATGCTGCCTGCAAGAGAAGGGGCTGAGGAGCAACTCTATGACCATTCAGGCCATGTAAGTATCTGACATTGAGAGCAGTGAGTTCCAGGACATCTAGCAAACTGGTCTAAGCCTTTGGGGGTAGGATAATAATAACTAGTATTTATACCTACAGGTTCCCCACCCCTGTAGCCTCAAGGCCACATGTGGCCCTCTAGGTCCTTAAGTGCAGTCCTTTGACTGAATCCAAATTGGATGTGAGGACCTAGAGAGCCACACATAGCCTCGAGGGCACAGGTTCCCCACTGCTGAATAGACCCTACTATGTACCAATAGGGGGCTGCTAGCGATGCAGTGGATACAGTACTGAGCTTAGAGTCAGAAAGACTCCTCTTCGTGAGTTCAAATCGGGCCTCAGACACTTACTAGCTGTGTGACCCTGGGCAAGTCACTTAACCCTGTTTGCCTCCGTTTCCTCAACCATAAGATGAACTGGAGAAGGAAATGGTAAACTCCTCCAGTATCCTTGCCAAGAAAACCGCAATGGGGGTCACAAAAGTTGGACACAACTGAAAAATGACTCAACAACAACTATGTACCAGGCTTTACAAATATTATTTCTTCCCTCCCAACAACTTAGGTGCTATTATTATCCCCACGTTACAGTTAAGGAAACTGAAGCATACAGAGGTTAAGTGACTTGCCCAGGGTTACACAACTAGTATCTGAGGCTGGATTTCAACTCAGGGCTTCCAGACCCCATTCTATCCATTGAGTCACCTAGCTGCCTTGAAAGAACTCAGATCCTAGCATTCTTTGGCACAGGAATGGAAGCAGTGATACTATCCTACAACCAGGTGAAGGGTTCATGGGGGGTCACACAAAAGAGACCAGAGAACTTCATGACTATAAGAAGCACCATAGTGAAAAGTGGAAAAATTGAGCTGAGAACAAGTTTGTTATTTCCTCTACCCTTCAACCATAAGTTCACAGAATTTCCAGCTCTGAAAAGACCTTTGAGAATTTCTAGTCTTATTCTCTCATTTTATAGGTGAGGAAATTGAGCTTGAGTCCAGAAAGGAGAAATAGCTAGCCCAAAGCTAGCCACATATTAAGTAACAGAACCAGAATTTGCATCTACACCTTCTGACTTCATATTCAGATCTACACCTTCTGACTTCATATTCAGTGTTCCACTGTACTGCCTCCAGTCTTACTGGATCTTGGACTTTCTGAATATAGCCAGTATATGAACTCCCAGAGTACTCTTCTCTTACATACCTACAGGCTCCAGAGTTAGAGGACCTGGATTCAAATTCTTGTTCTGTTACTTAATAACTGTATGACCTTGGGTAAACCCCTCAACAGGGTAGCTAGGTTCTGCAGTGGATAGAACACTGGGCCTGGAGTCAGAAAGCCTGAATTCAAATCCAGCCTCAGACACTAGCTGTGTGACCTCGGGCAAGTCACTCCACTGTTTGCCTCTACTTCTTCATCTGTAAAATGAAATGGAGAAGGAAATGGCAAACTACTCCAGTGTCTTTGCCAAGAAAACCCCAAATGGAGTCACGAAGAGTAGGACGTGCCTGGAAAATGACTAAACAACAAATCCCTTTACTTCCCTGGGCTTTGATTTCTTTACCTGTAAAAGGTGACAGGGATGGACAGGTTAGACTAGATGGCCCCTGGAGTCTCTTCCAGCTCCAGAGCTATAATCCTATGATTCCTGGAAGCTTTGATTTTTCATCTCATCCTAGGAAGTGTCTTAACTGAAGCCTCACCAAGGATAGCAGCACCACCCAGTGGAGAAATCCAGACCACTCCTCCTCTTCCTCTTCCTCTTCCACCTCCTCTTCCACTTCCTCTTCACTGTTTAGGCGAGACTTTGATGGATCAAGAACAGAACACCAGAGAGAACCAGCTAGCTTTAGGTCAGATTTTAAACAAACTCAAACTCCTTCCAATCCTAGCCCCCAGCACTGTCCATGGTCCTGCTCTGCTGAATGATGAAAAGGATTATCAGGATTATATTATAGGTCAGGCAGATCTGGTTATAACTGGAACACCAGTTGCAACAGCTATACCCGGCCCCTCCTGATGTGCAGCCACCACTATACATTTCCCACCCATCCACGACTATAGTTTGATTTTTTCAAGTCTCTAATGCTGTTTCCATATGTGAAGCCTCAATTCCTTAACACAAGGACTTCAGACATACCCATATCCCACCCAACAAACCAAGACAAGGAAAAGGAAAGAAATATTGCACCAACTTAACTCCAGAAATTCCAAAGGCTCACTTTGTTGTTTTTGTCACGGAATTACAAATTACAAATCTAGAGCTGAAAGGGGCTTCAGAAACCATCTGGTCCAATATCCTCATTTTACAGATGAGGAAACTGAGGCCCGGAGGTAAAGTGACTTGCCCAAAGTAATTTAGGAAATAAGCATCAGAAGTGGGATTTGAACCCAGGTTCTCTGAATCTACCTTCATCAAGGCAGGCCAAATTCAAGCAATCTTACTTCTACCTAAGTCCAAAGCCATTTAGTGGTGAACAATGATGCTCTGTGAGAGAAGAAAAAAAAAATCAGGTAGAAGACCTTTCCATTTTAGTCTGGGTTTCTTCCTCTCTCTTCCTCACCCTTCCAAATTAACAAAATGAGGTGAGCAGCTTCCACTCTTTGGGCAAGAGGAAAGCCTGAAGACTGAGGAAGGATCCTGCCCTCCCCACTGGGATGGAGTGAAGAGGCATTGTCTTCTTGCTCCTTATCATCCCCATCTCACTCCTGAATACATTGGAACATGTTCACCTCCTGAAGTCAAAGAAGGTCCCCCACCACAGGGAGGCCTTCAACCAAGTCACCCAAATGCAGGAGAAGGTGATAACAGATGCTGGGGGAGATGCAATCCCCCAGGCCAGGACAGGATGGGAAAGCAGAGGTAGCTACTCATATCAAATTATCTAACCAGAACCTTCACAGATCCCTGCTCATCTGTTCTCTGGGCCATCCAGGGGACTTTGGGTAAGGGGCTTCTATTTGGGAATTCAGCTGAGAATTCCTTATTTGGCAAGGATTTCAAAGCAGTCATCCCAACTTTAAACCACGTAGCACTGGGAAAATGGCCACAATGAGGGAAGAACCAAGGGCTTCTTAGGACCTTAGCCTGGAACTCACTAGATCAAGGATTCATAACTTTCTTGTGTGTCATGGCTCCTTTTTTCAGTCTGATGAAGCCTACAGATTCTTTCTCAGAATAATGTTTTTAAATGCATAAAATAAATGTAGGGTTACAAAGGAAACCAATTATGTTAAAATGAAGGTATAATTTTCCCCATCCAAGTTCATGAACCCGCTGAAATCAACCCACAGGTCCCCTGGGGGATCATTCTGGGGGCAGCGTGTGGTTCACCAACTGCGATTAAGAACACCTGCACTACAGGCTTACTATGTTAATTTTGCCTATGGAAAGAACAAGAGAGCTCTTACTAAGGAAAATCTTGCCTTTCTTTAGGTTAAACATCATCAGTCCATGGGGTTACTTCCACAGAGTCCAAACCACTGTGAATGGCAACAGGCTCTCCCGGCTATTATATCTAAACAACCTGAGATGGCCCGCAGCACAAACATAGCACCAAGGTGCTCTGGTCAGAAGGGCTGGCCTCAGGCAAAGGTGCATGCTAGGCAACGTCTATAACTGTTATGTTGATGTTTTGCTTCTGAGGATTGAGACTGGAAATGGAGAGGGTGGAAGCTGGGATAATGGAAAATTCTTTCTGAAATAAGCATTGGACTAGGGACCGGAATAGCTGTGTTTAAGACTTAGCTCTTTCACTTATTAGTACAGGTATAAACTTGGGCAAAACCACTCTGTATCTCTGGTCCTCAACTGTCTGATCTCTAAAATGAGGATAATAATACTAGTGCTATGTACACCCCACTGGGTATTTGTAAGTCTCAGATGAGATCATGTGTGTAGAGTGCTTTGCAAACCTACACAAATGCCACGTTTTTTCCATTATCCTTTCTTCCCTGCCCAATCCCATAAGTTTCCATGTTCCTATCCCCACAATTGCCAAGCCTGAGATAGAACAGAAATAGAACTTCAGAGAGTTCACTTTGTGACTTCTGGTTGGTGGAGAGAGGCACACTTGCCCCAAAGTCTACTACTAAGCAATGGCCCTGCTCTACTTTCTTCCAAAGTAACATGACAAAACCTTTCGCAAAACCTTTTAGAACTAGAAAGAAGTTTAGAGATGATCCAATCCAAACCCTTCATTTTAAAGATGAGGGAACCGAGGACAGGGGAGATTAAATGACCAGGCCAAAGTCATCTAGCAAATAGTGGTAAAATTTGGACAAGACCCTTCAATTTCCAATGCAGTCTTCTTTCTGAGACAGTAAACTAGTATTAGGGTTTGCTGTGTTTTGCTTTGGTTTTTCTCTACAGGTATCACCAAGGCAGGATGTCTAACATAGGAAGAAGAGCTGATTCAACTGACCAGGTGCTACAGAGACATGCTGGGGCTGATAGGACGGACCAGAGACAGAGGGAGAGCTTTCCTACTCAACTAAGCTCCATTTATCCTCGCACCCTTACAATCTATGACAACTGGGGCTTCCAGAGGTATTATTCTCACCTGGTTCAGGGGACACTTTGCATCTCCTAGTTAGACATGCATGAACCCCAAAACAAGTACCTTGATTTAGAAAGCAGAGATGCACTCGGGCTAAACAGTAAAATGAACCACATTAGAGAGCAGAGCCAGCAAAGCAACGGGACCAGTGATATAATCTGTGAATGAGGACGCAGCAGGATCTGGGGCCAGCTTTATACCTATACTCCTTCCCATTGTGCTTCCAGATTATCCCACAGCTCAGTTCCTCACCGCAATCCTTGCCACTTTACATTATGTAATTAATGTTCTGACCTATCCCTACATAATCACATACTACATTTCTTGAATATATTTTTCCCTTCTGTCTCACATAGAAGGAGCATGGCACAATGGACAGAGAACTGACCCTTGAACCCCAAAAGACCTAGATTCAAGTACCATTCTGGCTGGGTGACCCTGGGCAAGTCACTTATCTCTCAGTGTCATAGTCAACAACCTAAGACAATACGTGGCAGAGAAGGTGCCAACCTGTATTCTTTCCCTGAATGTTCCCTACATCAATGAAATCACAGGTTTTGTCCCTATTCCCTCTCTCACACACAGCTCCTACAGACGGGTTTCATTATGGCATTATAGTAGAGCTAGCAGAACATACAAGATCTTGGGAAAGTTATTTAACCTTTCTAGGTCTCAGTTTCCTCACCTATAAAAATAACTAGGGTGGGTTTAATGATCTCTAAGGTCCCTTACTATTCTATGATCCTATAATCTTGTTCAGTACAATCAGAAGGCTATGCCCAGAGAGGGCAAACTGGGCTCTGATACCCTGCACCAGCAGAGGATAATGCCTCCTCCTTCCCCCTTTCTCAGAGCCACCACCCTAACAAGCAGACAGCTTCTCTTCACCCAGACCAACCTCTACTTTTTGATTAGGGGGACCAGCAACATGTATTGATTTTGCTTAGCAAAAAAAAAAAAAGAAGAAGCACTACTTCTCTAATATCACAAAGGGCACAGCAAGATCCTGAACCAGGTCTCGGATGGTGGCTGGAGGGGATACAATAAACGCATAGAAAGTGAGAGCTTATGCTGGAGGTGGGGAGGCAGAAATGGATAGGAAGTGGTAGAGGAGTATAGCTCCTCTTTATATTATGCAACAAATGTTTTGACCTGTTCCTACATAATTATATGTTATGTTTGTTGGGTATATTTCCTTTTCTCTGTCTCACATAAAGGCAGTATGGCATAATGAAATAAGCCTTCAACTCCAGCATCTATTCTCTCTTAGTACTGAGAAATAGCATTTGGGCCTGAAGGGAAATAAGGCAGGAGACATAGTTCTGTTCATTCTGTCATAACCATGAACTTGCCTCAATTGCCCATGGTGGCACAGCTTCCATTTGGTTCATGGTCCCATATGCCTCATTCCTTTTTGTTCTGCACAGGAGTCAAGAGACCCTGCCTTGGGCCACTGTACAGACTTTGGGCTCTGAAGTCCCAGTCTTCACCCCAGTGATCTTGCAGCAGGAAGCCCTGTCCCCTCCTCCCACCTATATATACCTGCTTCAGGAGCCCAGGGACCTGCCTCTGCTTCTCCCACTTCCACACTGCCACACTCACCTCCCCAGAGAACCTCAGCCAGCCTATACCCAAGGAAATAGAAGCAGCAGCATGGAAGACAGAGCTCAGGATGAGCAGACCTAAAACACCTTCCCTACACATCCTTTGAGGTTTTCTGGGAGGATCACTCAGATTGCTTTTTCCTGAATGTCCCTTTCAAGCTTCCCAGTAAGGCATAGGGCAGATATAAAAGAGACAGAAAGCTAATGGCCCTTGCAAAGAGAAAGAATGCTCACGGTCCTCATACTCTTTCTGGAATCCTCAGCTCAGCTGGTTTTATAACACATTCAAATCACCAACTGGCTCCCTGCAATAATACAAACTGCTTCACTAGGCTTTTGAAATCTTTTATAATCTTAATCCAATCTATGGTTCCATACTGATAAAATCTTACTCTGCCCTCCACCTCAACTCTATGTTCCAGCTAACCTGATCTTGTGGCCCCACAGGTTTGGTGGGGTCTACCTACCACTTCTATGCTTTTGTACGGGCTTCCTCTCTTACCTGGAATGCTCTCCCTTCTTACCTCTATTTCTGGAGATCCTTAGTTCCCTTCAGGATACAGCTCTAATACCACCTGCCACACAAGGCTTTTTCTCATCCTCCATGGGTTTTTAGTGTTCTCTCCCTTCTGCCATCCCCATTATCACTTTGCATTTTCCTTTGTACATATTTTGAATTTACTTATCAGTCTCCAAGGTTGGGTTTTTGGTTGTCGTTGCTGTTTTTGTCCAGTGAACATAAGTTCCTTGAAAGCAGGGACCATTCTGTTCTAGTCTTTTTATCTGCAATGTCTTGCACACAGTAGGTGCTTTTAAAATGTTCATTGAAATTAATTAAAAATGCAGCAGCTTGACCTGCAGAAAAGAAGTGTGAGGGGATGAGGGAGGCAGAGAACCTAAACCCCCAAATCCACGAAGGCATATGACTGCCATTTTCCTCATGACCACCAAGGGGCTAGAGCAGAGGAAGCTGGCTCAAATATAACACAAGCTTTGGAAAGCTTCTCAACAACATGGAGCAGAAGTTGGGATCCCTCCTTGTATATCTTCAAGAGAAGCCCCTATCTATCCAGGTTAGCTTGGGGGATAATATTGTCCAGTGATAGGAAAAAGGGCTATTCAGATTAAGGTCCTATTAAGTGAACGACATTTAAGTGGAGCTGGATGACAGAGACCATTCCAGCCACTTAGTCACTCATCTGTGTGTTGCGCTGTCCAATCAGAACAAAGCCTACAGAAACATAATTCAAGTTCACTCTTTAACCTGACTCAATGGGTACCAAAACAGTTGCCAAAACAAACAAACAAAAAAACCCAACAACAACCAAAAAAAAACCCCCTCTATTTTTCCTTCTCAAACCAGATGTGGTAACATAGTAGCAAGACTTTACGAAAAGCTTCCCCTTTCTTGACCTGTAGGGGGCACTGAAAGGCGCCAATTTGTTGCTGGAGCTCTTGGTCAATGTAATTAATTCTCTGCCACCAATTAGAAATTGCTCAACTGAAGCACTGTCCCCACTGCTGCTTCTAACTGCTCCCACTCCAAGGAAGAAGCTTTCCAGATCAGCCCCAAACATGTGTACACACACATACACACACACACACACACACCCTGCTGTGTCTATCATTCTTGGATTCCTCTTTCCCTGCTGCTGCTGCTACTTGTGTTTTTCCTATCTTCAGCAGCTTTCATGAGAGCCTGCTGACTCCCAGTGACTCATCTTTCATTTATAAAGTCACAACTCTCCAATTTCTCCTCTCAAATTGGCAATCACTTTAAAGCCACACCTCTGTCTCCAAGTGCTCATATGATTTCTCATTTTCTTAGATTTGCCCTCTTTAGTAATAAAACAAGTGCATGTAAATTAAGGGAGCTACTCATCATTCTTTCGTTCTGAAGTCTCCAACAATGTAGTAGTGGGTCTCTTTGGTGCCCTTATAATTTGTATTTCTTCATACTCACATTTCTCTATTTCTTAATAAATAAAATATTTCTCTGCCTCTTTATAATATTAAACTGTTTCCATACAAGTGAGACATTAGTCTACATTGTTAATAAAGCAATCCAAGTCCTCAAATCTATACTACAGATGATTTTCTCTCCAGGACTGTCAAAAATCCCATCTAAAAGCTATTTCTCCACCCACATATTATAGCAGTTTATATCCAAATAAAATTCACTTTCCACGCATATACAGAAACTATAGCTGTATTATCCTTACAGAACCCAGATTTAATCATCAATGTAGATTATATAAGGAAAGCATGGAACACATCATTGCAGGCTGTATAAATTTAGCAACTACCAAATAACTAGGAACATATGACCTGATGACTAAAAGTAATACATCAAAAGCTTACTACTTTGACAGTCACTGTGAATACAAACCTCAAAATATCCTACAAAATTCAACCAACATGCTGTCGTGTAGACCATTATCACTTGCCAAACTGTTGTCCACAATTATCTGGACGTAAACTTAATCCATAAAAACTTAAGAGTGTGTTTAATAGATGTTGCCATACCAAACATATAATTTCCAAGCTGAACATAAATGTAAATGTGGGAATAGAATTGAGGTCCATATCAACCCAGTCGTCCAGTCTGCTACTGAAGAAGTGAAGATACTTTCAGTGCATGTACAGAGGATGAATTTACAGCCTAATACTTTTATTCAACCTCAAATCGCAGTTACTTTATCTACTTTTGCCACTGTCCATAGAATATTGCTTATGATAATAATAACTATAATAGCTATAATTTAGGCATCATTTTAAGGTTTATAAAGTGTTTTACCTATGTCTTATATGATCCTCACAACATCCCTGAGAGGTCAGTGTTTAGTTTATATTTTACAGATGAGGAAACTGAGGTTGAGACACAAAGTGATTTATTTGCCCAGGGTCTCACAGTTAGTAAGTGTCTGAGGCAGTATTTGAACTCAGGACTTCCTGACTCTGGGCCCAGTGCTCTATTCACTAAGCTGCCTAGCTATCTCCAGAAGAATAATAACAAGATAGTGACTTGACCCAGGACTATTTCTATCTGAACCTCATGGGGAAGACTAAAATAAGATATCACCAAAACTAATAACATGAGGCATCTAGGTTGCACAGTGGATAGAGCACCAGCCCTGGAATGACGAGGACCTGAGTACAAATCCAGCCTCAGACATTTACTAGCTGTGTGACCCTGGGCAAGTCACTTAACCTCAATTGCCTCCAAAAAATAAAATAATTATAATTGATTGCTTTTGTATAGTGTTTTGAGATCTACAAAGTGTTTTATGTGTATGGTCTCATTTTAATCCCACAAAATTCCTTTGTGGTAATTGCTAGGATAATCCCCATTTTAGAGATGGAGAATTGAAGTTTAGGTTAAGAGAGTCAAGTGAAGTTTAATGACCTTTTGCCTAGGGGCAAACAGCTAGCATATGGCCAAGTTATGATTTTCACCACAGACTTCCTAACCCCAAGTCTAGTCCTCTATCTTCTATCCCACACTGCCAAAAATTGAAAAATTTCCTTTTACTTTGGAGCCACTTGCCTGTCAGTCAGTCAACAACCATTTATTAAGTACCTTACTATGTGCCAGGTACTGAACTAAGAAAGAAAGAAAGGCAAACACATGGTAACCCACAAGGAAATCATATTCTAATGGAGGAGATGACATACAACTATGTACATGTAAAATGTATACAGTGTAAATAGAAAATGATATGGGAAGGAGCATAGGAGGTGTCGGGGGGTGGGGAAGGGGATGAGAAAGGCCTCTTGCAGAAGGTGGGATCTGAGCCAAGTCTTGAAGGAAGCCAGAGAAGGAACAGCATTCCAAACACGAGTGAAGTTGAATAGGGAACGTCATGGCAGCACTGTCTAGGCCTTTGTATGTGTAGCCAGATGGCAGAGCGTGTGGAGGGAAGGAGAAAAGGGATCAAGTTGCAAAGGTCTTCCAGTGCCAAACAGAGCATTTTATATTGGATCCTGGCGGGGTGAGAGGAAGGTACCGGAGTTTGTTGAGTAGGGGAAGGACAGGGTCAGACCACACTTCAGGACGGCAGCTTTAGAAAAGCGGGAGAATGAATGGATCAGAGCGGGCAGAGAGTTGAGGAAGGGAGAACAATCAGAAGACTGCTGCAATAGCCCAGACGTCCAGTGATGAGGAGGGTCTGCAGCAGAGCGGCAGCTGGGTGAGTGCCAAGCTGGAGTCGGAAGAGAGCAATGCCTCGGACACCTGGAGGGGAGAGTCAGTCCCCAGGAGAAGAGGGCTATCAACAACTGTAAAGGTTGGAAAGGCTTAGCAGTCAAGGAACCAGTGGGCACTCTGGAGAGAGGGTTTCAGTAGAACGATGAAGTCAGGAGACAGACAGCAGAGATCATGGAAGAAAGAAGAGGAGAGGGAATGCACGCACTTCACGTACATAGATGGCCACCTCAGAGATTTTAGCTGAGTCCGTGAGGAGCAATACAGAATGGTAGCTAGGAGCTACCTTAGCAGAGCACTTAGCAAGAGGGAATGGCCTTGTTCCTCTCTCCTACAGGAGAAGTAAAGCTGTTGCAGGAAGGAGCTGAGGCACCAACAAACAGCAGGCAGGAGCCAGGAACAAGTCAAGTTCAGCTGATGAGGCATTCCCAACAGCTTTCTGCTGGGGAAGCCTGAACTGACTTTGGGACAAAGAAGAAGCCTAACCCAGCAAGGTCAACAATATTAGAGATACTGAGAGGAGAACCACGACTGGATATACCCACATGCACATTTTACTTTTTTTTTTCTTTTTAAGGCAATTGGCGTTAAGTGACTTGCCCAGGGTCACACAGCTAGTGTCAAATCTGTTTGGTTTGAGGTCACATTTGAACTCAGGTCTTCCTGACTTCAGGGCCGGTACTCTATCCACTGTGCCACCTAGTTGCCCCTCACGTTTTACTTCTTCAACACCAAGATCAGTAATGGATCACATTTTTGGTAACAAGGACAGAGAACAAAAAGGAGAGGAGATCTGGTGCCCACAAGCATCGGAACCAGGCTAAGAAGCATTGAAAACCAGTCAATGTTTTACAGAAATAACGACCCGCTGTGACTTTGGGTAATTCACTTAACCTTTCTGGGCCTTAGTATCCTCATCTGTAAAATAAGGGGTTCAGATTTAGATGACCTCAAAGGTTCTGTCTGGGTCCAGACCTTTGTACGTCTGGACCAGCAGTGCCAAACTCAAGTAGAAACGAGGGCCACTTGCCTGCACATAAGGATCCCTGCAGGTCCCAGATGGACTTAGAAAACCATAAGAATGTTTACGTGCATGTGTGCTTGTGTACATACATACATATACACATATGTGTATACGTGTATGCATATATATGTATGCATATAGAAGGTATATGTACATATGTTAGATATTATACTAGAATATATTATATTGGGTATTACGAGGTATTAGATATTATATTAGAATATATCATATTAAGACTTGCAAAATCATATGTTTATATGGATATACATGATAAATATAGATACACATATATTTTCTTATTAATACATCAACACATTAAAATCAGGTAAGAGCTACATTTTCATCTGATTCAGGATGCACTCAGGAGTGTTATGGGTCACAAGCTACCCCTAGACTTGTATTTGACACCTGTCGTGCGGACATGCTGCAGGTGCCAGACCTGCATTATAAAATCCAGCTCCTGTTTTAAAAACAAAACAAGACAAGTCAAAGCTAGCAATAGCTGGTGCCTCCAAAGTCCTCATGAGGCAAAGAATTAAAGAGAAAAGGGTTATGTGGAACCAGTGAGGACAGATTTGGAGACTTGCCATCCTTCCTCCTGTTCTTTCCTATCTTATTCCTTTCATTCTTCTCTCTCATCTTCACTCATCTACCAGTAGCTCTCCAAGCCCTTTAGAGACTATTAAATATATACTTTAGGGTAATGCAAGCATGGGGAACCTGCAGCCTCAAGGCCACACGCAGCCTTCTAGGGCCTTTTTGACTAAAAGGCCACACCCAAGGACCCAGAGGGCTAGACTGAGTCAGTCAAAAGGCCACACTCAAGGACCTAGAGGGCCACATGTGGCCTTGAGGCCACAGGTTTCCTCACCCCTGGGGTAGTGAAATATATCTACTATTTTTTGCATTTGGTCTGGACCTGTGAGCTCATGAGTGAGGGAAATTCCTGATGTATAAAGTCCCTTGATCTGCAACAAATTTGTAATTTAGTCTTAGAGACTTGCCTTGGGCACTAAAAGGTTAAGTGATTTGCCATTGGTCACATAGCTTTTATATGTTTATGTCATAATAAAACCAAATTAGGAGTCTATTTCAAAGTTACAACATTTTGGAAGTAACTAAAATAATATTCCTTACATCAAGTTACTTTACAAAAGTAAACAAATATCTAAAAAGCCTAAGAATAATGACAAGGAGGGGCAGCTAGGTGGCACAGTGGATAGACCACCAGCTCTGGAATCAGGAGGACCCGAGTTCAAATCCAGCCTCAGACACTTACTAGCTGTGTGACCGCAGGCAAATCATTTAACCCTGATTACATAAAAAAAAACCCCAACAAGGTTTAGAAGAGGAACATGAAGCTGATCTAACGTGTGTCAGTTATACAACACGTAATAGGAGTTAACAGAAAATAAGTTGTTATTAATTTTTGTATTATTAATGTTTAATAAACAAGTATTTATTGTCTCTACCTTCCACCTCCTCCTCCCATTGAGAAGAAAAATTAATAACAAATATACATAGTCAAGGAAAACAAATTCTCTTATTTGGACACTGCCATGTCCAAAACTGTCTCATTCTACAGTTTGAGTTCATCACATCTCTGCCAAGAGGTGAGCAGCATCCTTCGTCAGTCCTCTAGAATGGTTGGTTATTGTGTTGATCAGAGTTCTTTAGTCTTGGAAAGTTCTTTGCTTTTACAATGTTGTTGTTCCCCAGAGACTTCCCAGTTCCAACATCAGTCCTCTCTCCACTACTCCACACTACCTCTGGTTGTTTATTGTTACCAGAATCAAAGGCTACCTATCACCCTGGAACCAGGCTAGAAGACAATTAAAAAAAAAAAGATATGAT